TAAGCAATCCAGCCATTAACCAAATGTGAAAGCTTCGCGTATAAATGCCAGCCCTTTATATGAAGCCTTTCTAGAAAAGATTTGGAAGTAGGAGATTTATCAACGAGAAATAGTGGGCACATTCCTTTAGGACATCCTGTATACTTAAGTTCAAAGAATGCAAGCTGCAATATTTTGTTGTATGATTTGAGTAAGACTAAAAATTCTTACCCTAATAATATCACAATATTAAATTTCTGAGCACAAAAGCAGTTCATACATACGTTAAGATCGGGCACTGTAGCATTTTCCAGAATCAGGTTACCGAAGATGATCAACGCTATGCATGCATCTTTCTTCTCTCTTTTGGAATATGTACATTCATCCTCAAAGTTGTATAGTTTGATTTGAGGCATGGCTTGAACATGCGCACACCAAAGTCTGCCGAGGTTTATACAGAAAGATAACTCAGTAGTTTTTTGGAGAAATAATCAGAGCGCGTCAGAGAGCATCATTTTCTCAACCTTTAAATCAAATTGTATTGTAACTAGCTTTAAGTTGTATCTGTTAATCGAGGCAAAGCATAACATAGCACGATTTGGACAATGGTCATGCAGGTGAAGCTTGCTTGGTGTGCGATTCCCAAATCATAAGATTTTCTCTAAATGAACACCGCCTATTCAAATCGCTAGCCTCATAAATCATTTATTTTCCCTTTTTACATACTTTTTCTTTCAGCCTTCAAGTATCCTCTTCTTCGATTAATTGTTGTAATTCTTCCAGCTAAGGATCAATGTAGCCAGGGTAGCGCTCTGATATATCCATCAACGCGTATGCCGGTGATTTGCATTCCAGGAAAGAAAGGATGTCCGCCAGGGTAGGTTGACAAGGTCACTAGGCGACCATAGCTAGCAGTGACCATCACGTTTATACGAAATCTACATACAAACAACATAATAAACAATGTAGTATTAATCGAAGGCAATAGAAACAGCTCGTGAGGATTTTATCCTAGCTTTAATGATTTTCAAGAATACTAAACTTTAGGGCGGGACAGTCTGTAGGAATTGGAGGAAAATAACACCAGAAATTAGATAACATGTCCCTTAAAAAATTAGTACCAGCGATATTCAGAAAAGAGCGAAGCTTGCATAGATTTAAAAATACTAATCTTCTATATGTGCATGTAAGCTGGCCTTAATTGTCATTTCGACTTTGCAGGTATGGCTGCAAGAAGAGCATCTCTTCCGATCAGTATGTTTGCTGTTCTTCTCGCTTTCGGATGAGCGCCTCTTCAGGTTTGTTTTGTGTGCCGAGATAGTGCTCATTAAAAAAATGCCTTTAACAATTCTGGCACTGCTAAAGTGGAACCGTAGTGAAGTGGGTTTATTAGGCGGCGTATATTGTTAGATGTAGCACAAGAGTCCAAATCTGCCAAATGTTTCTGCGAAAAAAGTTAAAAAGGTTTTCTTACCAGGAAAAAAAATAATTTGAACGGCGTAGAAATTGCACTCAAGCCTTAACATCTATGTAAAGCAAATTTGCAAAGGGTTATTCTTGACCTATTCTTCATCTCCCCTTCGAAAAAAGCACTAGCATGTCTATTAGAGAACTAAACTTGGGATTTTTCACCACTCTGGGTAGATAGTACTCCTGGTAATTTTAAAAAAACCATAACTAACTCTCCTTTCCTTAACCGTGTCCTTTCAAAATAAGAGGCATATTATTAGGCGCCAACGCTGTAAATCTTACTTGCTAAACGATTCTCTGAACGGAGTTGAGAGTTTCGTTCTAGGAAAAGAGCTTGCACTATGTGTCATTATTGCTCGAAAACTTCAAATTTCATCTAAAGAGATGTAATGTTCATTCGTTGAGTAGAGTAAGTCTTACCATCACAAATGCACATTTACTTTGTCCTTTCAATGATTTCTGAGAGAGCAATTAACGCAGAAAGAAATTTCATTGTTTCCATCAAAGAATTCTTTAGTGAATTTAGAAGGCAGACTTAAAATCAGCATTTTAACCCGCATAGTATGCCACTTATTTTGAAAGGACGTGGTCATAAATAGCTTTCCCTTGTTAGTCCTACCGTTGAATTTGCCCGAAGCTACACGAAGCGGACAGCCGATACTTTGATTTCGTAGCTACCATGAAAACGCTCGATAACTACTTGACTTCTTAATTCCTGATAGACAAAGAAACACAGCCATATGTCGACAAGTGAGCGCATTACACGACAGGATCTCT